TCACTCCCAAAACCTTGGTCCAAGGTAGGCGGTAAACGCAACACTGTCTCCATCCCCAGTAGGCACAATTGATGCCATGTTGTGCATGCCCGTGTCTCTCTTGTCACCCCTGTTTTGTGGATCGATTAGCTATTATCAACGAACTTTCAAGCACCTGGAAGAGATTCCGCAGCAGGGAGAATACTCACAATGTGCACTGAACAGCCGCTTCCATATCATAGTCTCCCAGCCCCTGCATCTCCAACAAGCGCTGATACCGCCTCACGACCCCAGGCTCATCGCGCGCGTACTGCCAAATTGGCACATACATCTTAACATGCGGGACCGCACTGCCCGGCACCAGCTCGAAGGTGGGATTGAGCCCGCAGTACTTGCTATCCGGCTCGGCGAGGGGTTTCTGCAACCCGTCCCGCTCGGCCAGGGGAACGTCTTCCATATCCATAAGCAGGGGCCAGACAGTGTTCAAAAACTTGGGGGTAGGGAGGCGGCCGCCCATCGTCATGACATGCTGGGCTGAGGCGAGCGAGTTGACGTGCGTGTGGGTGTAAACCTTGAAGCGAGGCTTCATATGCGGCGCCACGGCGTCGATTGCGAAGAAGTGAATGAGGTTATCCTTGCCGTCGGTGGTGAAAAACGTCTTGAGCATGTCCCAAGCAGCTAGCAGCGCCTTATCGCCATCGGCGAGCCGTATCAGGACTGACTCTGTGATGTCCATGAGATCCCGGCCTGTCGCGAGAGCTTTGAGCTGGGGGAAGAGATACGTCTTCATGTGAATCGTCGGGCTCCCGTTCTCATCGGCGGGTTCAAGATCAAACGCACAAAAGACGTTTTGCTGCGGCAGCGCACCCGCCGCGCCGCTCTTCTCAACAAGGCCGGTCTGTTCCTCATCAGTGAGGAAGACAGCATCGAGAAAGGCATCCTGGCGCTTGCGGTCCGCGTGGCATGCAATTGCCATATCATCGAGCTTCTTGCGTAGCTCCTTCTGGCCGAGAGGGTCGTCGTCCCTGGGGCTGTCCACGAGCGGCTGCACCGAAAATCGCACTTTGGCCTTTTTGCGAGGCGCAAAGGCGATGCTGATCTCGTACGGCGCATGGTCGTGCGTGCCGATGTATTTGGGCCAGTCGGCCGGGCGAGGCGGGTTGAGGCGGGGGACTACGACTTCGCGCGCAAAGTTGAGATAGTAGTCTTGAAGCTTGGGTGGGTAGTGGCCTGTCCAGCGCATGAGCGGGGAGAGGGTGTCGTGGAAGGTGGGAAGCCAGGAGGAGACGAGGGCTTTTGCTTCAGAATGGCCTTTGTTTGTCGAGGAGTGATCGACTCTGCTGTAGACGTTGGAAATGTTCCTTGTGGTGCCATTGGCGCCTGGAACAGCGGTAGATTGGTGGATTTCAGTCATATTGAGGTTGTTGGTGTCCGTAATGGAATCCTACTGTATCTTTGGCATTCGCACCTGCAGTACTTGATTGCAATAGTAACCTCGACTCTTTGGCCATTTAATATCTTCATCTGAGGTCGTGGCCTTTTAGACGGTTGCTTGGGGGTCAAATGCCGGCAAAGCCGGAGCTCGCAGTCAGTTGCCTCTTCAGGTAGGCCATGACAAAAAGACTTCAATTCTTCAGAGACCAAATTGTTTTTTAGATGAATTTAGCTCTTTAGAAGCAAAGTTCTCTACATGCCGAACCAGTTAACAGGAAACAAAGTTAATCTTCTCTACATGTGAAACTGGAACTACACAATAGCATCTTACCGTTCTTCGTCCCATCCGAACAAGCCGGCCTGACAGGTCTAGACTGAAAGTCTGAAATACACATTTCATGCAGTACGGAGAAGCCCCAACAGGGCTAGGTCCTAAATGTTGACGTTCATACGTTACCGACTTAAGGCTCAAACCTCATAATGAGGCCTTCCGTAGAGAATAGATTCAGGTGGATGATACATTGAGAAGGCTGGATGTCATCGTCGCCAACCTTAGACCTGAAGCTCTCGCAAAATCTCGACACATTTGCACGTAGTTATTTGGACTGTAACAGCTTTTGCGTTGTTCCCCATTCCCTGTAACGCAGTATCATTGCCCCTCAGCCACTGAATGCGAATACGGCCTTAGAACTCGGGTGACGGCAATCATGGGGATATCATAACTCAAATAACAGCGCCAAACCTAACAAAAGAGCACCACCCAACTTTTACTCCTCATCGTCATCCTCCTCAACCTGCTTAATCGCATACCCCTCTACGAATCCGTCCGGATCGCATACCTTTTCAAGACTAATCTTATTCGCCTGCACCCACGCCCAGACACCCTCCTTGTCAACCCTCACCCTCGGGACATCGGGCTTCTCCGCCTCCTCCTCCCCGGCATCCTCCATCTCCACATCCTCGTCCTCGCCCTCCTCCCCGTCCGCCCCCTGCCTCTTCCGCTTCGCAGGCGGCTTCCCCGGTCCCGTGCCCCCCTCCACAACGACCCCCATCTCCCTAAGCGTGATCAGACAGTCCTCCAGCGCAATCCACGTCGCCTTGCAGCAGTCCTCGACATCGACCAGCAACTCCCTTTCCACTTCTCCGTTGTTGGTCTCGTTCGTCCCGCAGCCGAGCAGCCAGCGCGCAATCTCCCCGCCCCAGAAGCGCTTGTACCCCTTCCGGCCGAGCTCCGAGATGGGCTTCTCCGGCCCGCCGAGCACGCCCTCGCGCCGCGAGATCTCGTACGAGACGCCCATCAGCAGCGCGCCGAGTCCCTTGCGCTGCCACGGCGGGAAGACGAGGATGCATGCCAGGTTGTTGTTGTCCCACGACATCTTCTCCTTGGAGAAGAAGCCGACGATGTGCGGGCGCGGGGGTTGCTGTTGCTGGTCCGCCGCGGCTGGGGGGTTGGCGGCCGGGTCGGGTTTGGGAGGAGGGGGTGTGTAGACGAGGAGAAAGTAGTTGAAGCCGCGCACGTCAAAGAAGACGGACTTGTTATCGAGGAACAACTTTGCGAATAGCGACAGGTTCTGGCAAAAGAGCTGTGACCCAGAAAAGTTAGCATGTCATTCCACGTAAGGGGGAACCAAAAGCATAGAACTCACAACATCCTGCTCCCCATCAACCTCCCACACACTCCACTCCCCCTCGTCCGTAACAACCTCCTCCGTAAACCTCGCCGCCACATTCCCCTTCTTTCCGCCCTGCCGCGGCATCTCCTTGCGCACCAGCCGCCGCCCGCGCGGGTGCGTATACACCTTGCGGCCGGGCACCGCCCCCGCGCGCTCGCACATCCGCACGTGGCCCCACCATGCGACGAGCTCCTTGGAGTACTTGAAGCAGACGGGGCACACGTACAACCTGTCGAGGATCGGGGCGTCGGCGCCCTTGCGGTGCTGGTTCTTCGCGCCGTCCCCTGCCCCCGTGGCCGGCGGGTTCTTGCCGGATGTCGTGCCGGCGGTGGCGGCGCCGGACTTGCCGCTGACGGAGGCGTCGCCGAGGACCTCTTTGCCGTAGTAAGAGGGGTACCACGCGCGGAAGCAGATGTTGCCGAGGATGACCTTGTCGATGTTGCGGTCTGTACGTGGGGCGGATTTGTCCACCGCCCGGGCCGTGGATGTTTGTGCCTGCGTTGTTTGCGTTTGCGGTTTCGTATGCGTTTGCGTATGCGTCTGCGGTTGAGGTTTCGAGGGTGTAGGCTTCGGAGGGGCCGGCGTATGCTGTTGCGGCTGCGGCGCTTGCTGCTGCTGCTTCGCCGTCGAAGTCGGCGGCACCGGCACAGGAACATGAGTCACCGTCGCTGGTATGCCATGCTGGTACGGCTGCCTCGCCACGGGACGAAAGTGCGATGTTATCGGCGGCTGGCTCGTCGGCGGGCTGGGCCGCACGAGACTGCCCCCCGAGCGGTGCGGCGTGGGCTGCGAGGCCTGGTACGTGATCTTGGGCGCGACGAGCGTCACCGGCCGGACGTTCTCCTTGGCCTCTTCGATGGCGGCGCCCATCGCGGCCGTGGTATCAGCGGCCGTGCCGCTTTTTCGTCGGCTCGCGCGGGGTTCGGGTGCGGCGGCGGCGGCGGCGGTAGCAGCTGGAGGATTCTGGCCTGCAGACTGCGCCGTCGACGATGATGATGAGGGGGGAACCGGGATCGGGATGGGCGTCTCGGAGATCTTGTGCAGCTGCGGCCTGGGGTTCGTCGAGGCTGAGGAGCGACGGCGTCTGTCCTCGGCGGCGGCGGCCTGGGACTGCGAGGTCGGGATCGGAGGGGGTAGGATCGGAGTTTGACGCGTTGCGCGACGCGTCGAGTCGGCTGCGCCGGCGACGGCGGCAGCTGTCGGAGTGGGAGCGGCGGCTGCGGTGGTGGTGGTGGAGGAGGTGGGGGGCGGAGGATCCGGGTCTTCGTGGGGTCGTTTGCGCTTCAGCGGCGCCATGCTCGGGGCATGCGTGCTTTAGCTTTTTTTTTTTTTTTTTATCCCTCGTTTCTTTTTTGGCACAATAAAAAAAAAGTGATCGGCCCGGTAATGGAGTGAGATGGGTAAAAATTCCGTGTGGTTGATCAATTAGACTTTGCGGTATCGTGGGCGCGGGAGTGACCTTGCAGGGGTGCGAGTGATGGACCCGACGTGGGTGTGGGATCGGAGCACGCGCGTGGGCGATGGCCAGAGACAGGTCTCGCAGTGTGAAGAATGTGAGAAAGGGAATGATGGTTGAGAATGTGGTTTCCCTGGGTAATTGGAATGCGATCGAGTCACAAGCGGCCGGCGCTGGAATTGGAACGACCCGCGACGCGCGATTGGTGCTTCTCTGGGCGATCTGTTGATTGTTGACGGTTGTCTCTCCGGGTCGTGTTCCAAGCAATGACGTTGGCGCTTATGTAAGTCAGGTGCAAGGTTTCGTCTGCTTACAAGCCTCCTCGCTGATAGGCAATTCTCCGAAGCCCTCGTTACATGCATTCCACGAGCTGTCAAACTCACTTTGAAGAGTAAAAATCAATTCAATTGTAAACAAAAGCCACGCTGAGCTCAAACACCGCCAACAGCAAAAAAATTAGGTCCATCCAGGATTCGAACCTGGGCCTACGGAAGAGACTGATGCGATCAGAATCCGACGTCCTAACCAACTAGACTAATAGACCTGAATCAATTGACGGGTTGATGGAGGTAAGGCATTTTTCGCAACCTATGATTCGAGCATCACCCGTGCGCGAGGTCATTCCGTCAATGCGGCCTTGCTTCCGAGGCGGGCCCATGTCGCCCGACTGCATCACAACTTCTCCTCAACCATCTCGCTAATGGCTTTTCCCTATGCAGCATCCACGGTTCCCATTCAGTGTTTCCGACGGGTGCAAACAGGACCCTGCGCATTCGCAATATCGACAGGTTTGCGTCGGGTGCAAACTGGACCCTGCGCGTTCATCACTCGGTCCAGAGTGTCGTCGTTCTCGTCCCAGTCCTTCACCAATGCCTTGAGCCGCCGGCGCGCGTAACCGGCATCGCGATTGCGGTACACCGAGTCAATTTTCCGCACATCGGCTTTATCATTCACGATCCACCGCCTCTCCTCATCCATGAACCGGGAGTAAGTCATATCGCTGCCATACTTGGCTTTCACATTGGCCTCGAGATGGTCATCGACTGCCTTCTCGACGGCTTTTTGATCCTTGGTAAGTGCCCCCAATGAGTGCAGGTTGGGCATTGTCCGATCGGCTGACGGATTGAATCTAGGTTCCTTGATCGTCGTGTCTGGCAGGATGGACTCAGCATCGTAGTATAACAGCAAAGACTTCAAGACAGCCGCGTCGATCTCCCGTAGGACCGGCGGTGTGATCGGGCAATGGCCGAGGTTCAGGTATTCAATGACCTGGTTAGTCGACAGGAGCTCAATGATGGAGGGCGCGACAGCGTCCTCGATGTAGTTCCAAGCTTGGCCGAGGTCCAAGGTCGCATATGCCTGACCAACGTCAAGGAAGCGAATCCTAGGATGCGATGCGACGGCATTGCAGATGGCAATGGCACCCGCCATGTGCAGACCGGTTGATTGAAGTGACAAGCGAGTCAGTTGAGGAGCCTGACGAACGCCCTCGGCCAGTGCTTGCACGCCTGCGTCGCCGAGTGGGTTGCAGGACAGGTAAAGCGAGGTGACACCGCAGGCTGGAGAGGCCAAGAAAGATGCAAGCCTTGCGGCAGCCGTTGTCGACATACCGGTGCCGTTCAAGTAAAGATGTCGCAGGGGCAGCTTACGGCCGGAGGGATCAGAGTACATGGTCAGACGAGTGAACAACTCTGCGAGACCGGCATCCCCGAGCTCCGTTTGGTCAAGGTCCAGCGTGCGAAGATTTTTCGTCTGGGTGATGAGTCGATAGACATCTGCAGCGGCCGCAGCGCCCAGCGGGTTGCGTTTCAGCCAAATGTTTGTGACGGCGTCGGACGTGACCATGGCATCGACGAGGATCTTGAAGCTGGGGGCGTCGATGCAATTGCCAGCGAGATACCAAGTGTCCATGCGATCAGGCAAGTCTTTGATGAAGCGGGCAATCTCCTGAGCGCCAACCGGGCCAATGATGTTGTTCCCCAGCAAGAAATGTCGGACGAAGGGGTTCGGCCGTAAGCTGTCCATCAGGCTGCCGATGTGGTCTGGGCCAACAACCATTTTGCAGAGGTCCATGCGACCATCCTCGTAGACGACTCCTTTGCGAAACTCGGCGCCCTTGACGCCGTAGTATGGCTCTCCTTTGCCATTATCGAGGTCAGCTCCAGCAGAGTTTTCGTCGAGCTCGTGGGTGCCGCCGAGCTCGAGGTGGTCGAAGAAGGGTGCCAGGTCGGCGGCGTCAGCGACGGCGACGGGCATCGGGATGGCCCTAGGGCCAGCGGTCGAGACGGGAAGTTTTGACGGGTCCCACGGGCCCTGAGCAAGGATCCGGGATGACCAGAATGGGGCATACACACCGGGAGCCGCTCCGCCAGTCAAGCCGCGGAAGCTGTGGCCGTTCCGTTTGGTGGCGGCAAATATGTCGTACTTCCGCTGCAGTGCGACCCACGCGCGCAGTCTCACACGAGCAGCGTCGTACCGGATCACGGAAGCCAGAGCTTTCTCGTGGGTGGCGGGATACAGCAGAGTCGCAACGGCAGATGCGAGGGAAGATCGCGTAGATTTCCGGCGGGGCAAGCCGTGCAACTCGTCGGGGATGCGAACTGTGTCAAGAGGAAGGGCCAGAATCTCGTCTGCGGTGAAGGCATATGAGTGGTTGAAACGGGGCATCTCTGCGTCTAGCAGGTTTAATGCCTCGCGGCTGAGGGGAGCGAGCCGGATTGCCTCTTCCATGTCGGCGACGGTGACATTGTCCGTGTCACCCATGCTAGTGGCTGGTGACATGCCATAGGGCTGATTGGCACCGATGATGGACGGCGCTGTCAGTTGGACGGTAGCAGCGGCGGCCATTTCGTCGTCTTTGCTGTCCTTCGGGTCCTGGTGCGAAGTCTCGGGTTCCGATGTTCTTTGCGACGTTGCGTGTAAAGTGGATGATTCAATGTGCTTTTTTCGATAATGGATTTGTAGTATTGGCTGATGATGATGCCAATGCCGATGCTTATGCCGATGCCAATGGTGTTGATCACTCGAGGCGATTCGATAGTCTTATAAGCTGGTTTGATGATTTCGCCAAAGTACAGAGAGTAATACTCATACGTCTGGCCGCAATGAGTCAAACGATGGAGGTTCTGTTATGCTCGACGTGCTTCTCCGCACAGGCAAGGCGTTCCTCTGGGCTGATATTGGTTCGCAAGGCTTAGGCAGGTACACCAAAGATTGACTTCCAGGCAGCCGCTCGATTGTCCAATGAGGAAGGCGCATGGCTTCCATCAGGGGGCAAAGGGCCCTGTCGCTCATGTCGTCGATGTCGTTCATGTCAATGTCAAGGGCGCAGTTGACCACTTTTTGACAAGAGACCAGTCATAACCTTGGGCAAGATGCAATGACATCGGATGGAAGGTGCGAAGGTGGTTGCAACCCACCGTCACAGCTGTCAGCATTGGCAGCGGCAATAACGATAACGACAACGACAGCAGCAGCAGCAGCAGGTACAGTGTAGTGTAGGTCGAATGCAAGTGGAGTTCATCGGGGACTTTTGCTCACCGGCCCCCACCTGCCATGAACTGATGGGAAACCACCATGAATGAGGTCCAGTGATGGAAAGAGGAAGTGCGACTTCACGGGCAGGTGCCTCATGGGGAGGAATGCACCTGGTCCTTCCTGGAAGGTGTCCAAGTGTTACGCTGCAGGTGCAAGTGGCTGGCGCCTTCTGTATCCGTACGAGAGAAACATCTGTGGCGGGGCTCTCGCAAACGCTGCGACCTTGCTGCCAATTCAGCCACATGAGGTGAACCACTCTTTTCTTCCACTTCCACCTCCCATCACGCTGCACACTGCACACGCGACAAGCGACGGGACAGACAGGCACACCAACACATGCACCACGACGCTGCCCCTGGACCGCCTCACCACCACCTCCATCACGTCGCTTGCCGCGTCCTCCACACACACTCACAGCTCTCTCTGCGACTCGGGTCCCGTCAGGTCTCTTCCCACCGTACCACCCACCCTCGCACTACGGAGTATTCCCAGGTCTTGCTTCTCGCCCTCCCACACCAAAACATCATCTCGGAGCTTTTCAGCTGCAACGCAACTCACTCAAAAGCAAACAACCACGGTCCTCCAGGTCGCATCACATCTGCCATCACCTCTGCCACGCAGTATCCGTACCCTCCCTCCTGTCTCTGTCGCTTCTTCTTCGCGTCTTGCGTTGCACTGCGTCACGTCGCAGCCGGCACTTTGCGTCCCTCCGTCCCCGTCTCCGGCCGCTGCCCTCCGCTGTTCCGCTGCAACCTATCACTCCTGCTCCCGTCCCCTGTCGTTGTATTTCCTGTCTCGTCGCCATTTAACATCCTTTGGCAACCTGTCTGACTCTGTCACGGCTGACCGCGGCTTCCAGGAATCCACCGCAATCAATCTGTGTAACACATGGCAGCCCGCCCTCCACCGCGTCAACAAACGCCGCCCGTCACGTCGCCTAACACTCAAAGCTCCAATGTGACTGGCCTGCAGAGACGGCCACTGCTATATACCACGCTCCCTGCGGTTATTAATTTAGCACATCTCTGATTCGCGCGATGCCATTGTCTCGTCCTGTCTCTGAGGGTCTCATATCCCGGCGCTCGGACGACCATCTTTGCTTTTCCTCGCCTTGCTTCTTTCAAGACGCTCACGCCATGTTCCCGTCTCTCATCCAGCGGTGAGCAGACTACGGATCCCGCCGCCGACGCTTTTTTCATTTTTTCAAACGTCAGCCTCCCGAGACTCCATTCCTGGCTTTTCGGGACGCCCTAACCGAGAATTCAGCGCAAGCGAGCAAATCTCCAGGCGAATGTCAGACGAACAACGCAGCCGTCATATGCACCCAACGCATCATCGCATCTTGGTCTTGTTGCCCCGCCCTCCCTGTTCGGATGGACTTGGCTTGTTTCGTGCCGCCACGCATGGTCCAAATATGATATATCGTGCAGTTCCGCGCCTGCAGCCCGCTAATGGGGGTGTGAAGGGCCTGGAGGAGGGCCAACACCCGGCCACTCACAGGCCCTCGAGACCAACTTTGCTTTTGCCGTCATCCTCCCTCGGGCAGCGACGCATGCAATCAATCGGCAATGCCACAATTTCGGCCGGTTGACACGAGGCTCTGAACCAGCCAGCAGCACGCGGGAGTGGTTGCCGGGCTCCTTGATTGGTCTTCACCTTGCTTTTTGCATAAGCACAAGGTCGATCTCTCGGGAGGCATGCAGGGAGGCGACAAGGGCCATCGAGGCTGTGGAAGACACTTGCGCACACTAACACACGAGATGGTGTTGTGTCTCCCAAGTGCCCGGTCAGGCGGGGGCCATTTACCTCAGCGCATACCATCGACGAGGATAGCCCTACCAACTCCTCCTCCAAAGTGTCGTGCGTTGGATGCGAAAGAAGAAGAAAAATAAGGCCCTTGGTATGTTGGCTGCTGAGGGATTGGCTGCTGCGGGGAGGACGCAAGACACCATGTCTCGGTGTGCTCCAGTTGGCTGACCGCTCCCCCCCTTTGGACCGATCGTTTGG